TATACGCATACAACGACAGATCTCTATTCACATACACGACGACTAACCACAATCGACCCGCATTGAAATGATTTCATCGAAAGCGAATGACGTGCAGTTCGGGCGTAACGCTATTTCCGTTGCATTTGTACAGATTTACACCCTAGTCGCGCCTAAGAAGTTTTTACTTCAATAAAACAAATACTCAAACTTCGACTTTAATTTTACAGTCCACATAATGTTACCAACTTTGTTAGAAGACATATATATTTTTATATATCAATAAAAAGGTAATAAATTTTTTATAAAATCGTGAAACAATAACTACACATTGCTATATTGAAAATAAACAAATACCTAAACTTTTACTTTCATTCTACAGTCCATGTAATGGAACCAAAGTAATGTAGTATTTACTGTATATTTCATACAATTTATACATTTATTACTACATGCAAAAAAATTCACAATATTTGAATTTAAGTGAACAAATAATGCTTATGTTTCATTGATCTTCACCACGCTTCTGACTGTGAAGTGCCATGTGTCTCTTCAAGTAAATTCCTTATTACATACTTCACATTTATATGAAGGCTCTCATTTATGATCAGCATATGTTTTTTCATATGACCTCTTTCTGTGAATGTTTTTTTTGGCGAACTCCAGTGTGAACGATCATGTGACGTTTCAGACTACCTCTTTCTGTGAATGCCTTATTGCATATATTGCATTCATAGGGACGTACTCCACTGTGTATCAGCATGTGACTTTTCAGATGACCTGATTGTGTAAATTTCTTTTTGCATATATTGCATGCATGGGGGCGTACTCCATTATGAATGAGCATGTGTTTCTTCAGATCACCTGCTCGCATGAATGCCTTTTTGCATACATTGCATTCATGAGGACGTGCTCCAATGTGTATCAGCATGTGACTTTTCAGATTGGATAATAGTGTGAAAGTCTTATTGCATATACTGCATCGATAGGGTCGCTCACCTCTGTGAATAAGCAGGTGACTTTTCAGATTACATAATAGTGTGAATGTCTTATTGCATATACTGCATTCGTGGGGTCGCTCACCTCTGTGAATAAGCATGTGCCTTTTCAGACTACCTAATTGACTGAAAGTCTTATGACAGATTTTGCATTTGAAAGGACATTCTTTGATTTTGTTAGGAATATGATCGGCCATATGCTCTTTTAAATGATTTGATTCTGCAAATGATCTATTGCAAAGGTCACATTCATAAGTTGATGTCTCAACTAACTCCTGTTTGACTTCTTCTTCAATTGTCACTTCGGAATTCATAAATCTTTCTAAACACGTATCATCATCTTCAGCACACAATTCAGATTTAACAACAACGTCGGAATCATCAAAATCAACCTCTATTTCGAGTTTAATGTCTTCTGGTGAATATTCTGGTGGTTCAATTTTAACTGCCTGATCATTCATAGACGTAATTGTTTCCTCCGACATTTTTAAATATTGTCACAAAAAAATAGTTTTGTACTAAATAATAGTCTAGTTTTATCAATAATTTTTCTGAATGTGATAAAAAATTTCAACTTTTACATTATTATTTGAGAAGCTAAGAATTTGACGGAAATTTGACACTTGCTAAGAGTGCAAAATCCATAGATAAAAGAAGAGTATTCAAGCAGTGTTGCCAGGTCCACCATAGAGAAAAACTGTAGATAGGCCAGAAAAAAACTGTAGAAAACTGTAGATTTCAAATTGAAAAACTGTAAATCTACAGCTTCATCATTAAATGATGGTAATATTATATAGTTATAATAGAATATTTATAGCAACTAACAAAATATAACATTAGTGGTATTTTTGAAAAAAAAAAGTTGTAAGCAATTATGATCTCTGGCGGTTTTGTATATTCATTCAGCCCAAACATCGTTACCTATCAAAAAGCGATAATTCTTGAATATAGGTTTTCCATCGTAGCTTACACAATATATAGTATATTTTATTAATTATTTATTATTTCATGTTATTATTAGTAAAGATAGATGTGAATCAAACTTAAACTAGTTGAGTATTAAATAAAACAAAATGCAATGAATAATTTTATTTAAAATATTGATTATTTAGATTATATATTACATTCGTAAAGGTTGAAAATATTACCATTTGATAATAATATGCTTTCAACGCATTAACAAATCAGTTGGTTTTCAACTTTAAATTTAACAATCTATTTTTTGTGTCGACAAATCGATTTAGATTGACTTATGGCCCATCTCCACTGCACGAACGCGCACGGCAAATCCTGTTTTTGACATGCGCGTGGTTTGCTTTTGCTTGCAAAATTTCTGTCTGCGCACTTTGCGAACAGATTCGCCGTACGAATTCGTGCAATGGAGCGGGCATAGTCATATTAAAATAGACATTATACATATAATATATAGAGTAATTTATAAAAATAAAAGTAATTTATAAAAATATTCCTGTTGGGATTATAAGCTTGAAGATGATTATCAAAACCATATCAAAACATTTCTTTCTAAAATTTTACGACGGGAAAAATTCCTTATGCTGCAAGTATCACCTTAAATTAGTTCAATTTAATATCATTGATTAAAACACATGATTAATTAGTACACAACCGTTTTCTCTGTTATAATCAGGTAAAATATCTTATAATGTCAGAAGAAAAAACTACCTCGGTTAAAATTGAACCACTAGAATATTCAGCAGAAGATCCTCAAGATGAAGAGGATATTAAGTCGGAATCTTGTTCAGAGAATGGAGAAACATGTCTGGAAAGATTTATGAATTCTAAAATAACTGTAGAGGAAGAAATCAAACAGGAATTAATGCAGGCTCCTATAAACCCTTTCGTATGCACAATATGTGATAATGCATTTGCTTTAAGACACCATTTAGATCGACATATTATTGCTCATAACAGAGAACTGCCAATTCATGCCGGAGAACTTCTTTTGAAGTGCAAAATATGCAACAGAGACTTCCATTCATCAAAAGGTTTGAAACGACATATGTACACTCATACTGGAGAACAGCAACATATTGCTCATAACAGAGAACAGCCAATTCATTCTGGAGAACTTCCTTGCAAATGCAATATATGTAACAGAAACTTTCGTTCACCAAAAGGTTTGAAACGACATATGTTCACTCATACTGGAAAACAGCAACATATCTGCAAAATATGTGATAAGACATTCACACGATTGATTCGATTAGAGAAACACATGCTTATTCATTCTGAAGAACTTCCTTATAATTGTGGAATATGTAACAAACTATTTCGTTCCGTATATGTTTAAAAAAACATATGACTAATCATTCTGGAAATTTTCTTCAGAAATGTGGAATATGCAATAAATCATTAGCACAATCTGATGCTTTAAATGCACACAAGTTTATCAATTCTAGAGAATTTCCTTATCAATGTGAAACATGTAGCAAATCTCTTCATGCATCAAAAACTTTAAATAAGCATAAAGCTCAATAATTTAAAGTATATGAGAAGAGACACTTGGGTGCTATGTGAAAGCCAGTGAAATATTTATAAACGATTATTTCTGTAAACCTGCTCTAATATTATGATTATTCTAGTATTGTTTAAATTGATGTACACATTTACATATATATTGATCGTAAGCTTTTAGGACGTACAAGCACTTGGTTGTGCATTATAATTAATTTAATTACAGATTTTTTAGTGATATCAGTTCATGTAACTTGCCTCAAGGCAAAATGCTACTTACATGTAGTAGTTTTAGTATTATATTTCATATTATATATAGTTTTAGATATATATCGATTTTATTAGCAATAATATGTTATTCAATGTCTCTTACTGTGATTGTTAGTTTGAAATTTGCCTCTTTTACAAATTATCGTTATATTATTCTTGTGTTGGCAGCATTTATACATAACGATTTTCATTGTTATGACTAGGGTTATGACATGACAGAATTGGCATCACTGGAAGGCTTTAGATATCAACATTCAACAAGACGTTTGTAACCTAGAAGCAAACTTTGCAATGATAATGTTTAATAAATTTCTTTTTTAATATTAAATTTGTATATTTAAGTTTTAATTTAGTCAAAAATGAGGAAAGAACGTTCAGTGGATAATTCCAGACTGTTTAAATTATAAGTAGTCTACCAAGTTTTCATTTGCAGGTGTATAGATATATAAATTCATTAAAAATATTTATTTTACAGCTCATCAAATATTAAGTTTGACTGGTATTAGCTTCGAGAGGAAGAGTATAATTGTAAATATTAAATACAAATAATTCTCACTTTATTTTATCAAACTACAAAAATTTGTGTACTCATTTTTATAATAGGGCTTCGTGGAATTGACAATAGTACCTTTGAAAGACAATTTGAGAAGCATTAAACTAAATGCTAAGCAATGTAGAATTTATAGAGTCACATTAGGCGATTGTGAGCTACTTTTCAATATTTTGATCCCTTTTTGGATATCTGCAAAAATGATTCAAAGACGTAAGTTGTTCTATGTTTTTACCCATAATTATCAATTTCTACTAGTAGGATTGTTGATAAATATCCTTTCTATTACCAGGAGGTCTTTGGAGGTATTTTCCAAGTGTCACTTAGCGGCTGCTCAAAATATAGATCCTGATTGTAATGCAGGAGAATTATTTATCAATGTGCCCCATGAAGCAAGCCATCTCATTGGTGAAGGTAGAGGTTTAAGAGTTGGAATAGAATTTTCTTTAGAGCAACCTCAAGGTGGCTTGCATTTTGTTGTGCCTGAAACTGAAGGCACCATGGAAGAGGTTTGTGAAAGAAAATCACAATATAACGGGCAGTATTTTTATGATTGTTTTTTTAGAGGGCAGCTCATATGTACACCTATGCACATGAAAACTCATCAAGACTCTGGTTTCCTTGCGTGGATTCTTATGCCGAGCCTTGTACTTGGAGTCTTGAGTTCACTGTTGACGCAGCAATGACAGCTGTCTCTTGTGGTGATCTTGTAGAAATTACTATGACGCCTGATATGAGGAGGAAGACTTACCATTATGTTTTAAATACTCCTGCTTGTGCTCCTAATATTGCTTTAGCTGTTGGGTATGAACTAGATGCATCAGTATTGTATGATTTATCAATAACTTTGTGCTTTTTTTTCATTCTAGACCTTTTGAAACTTATGTGGACCCCCATATGCACGAAGTGACCCACTTTTGTCTACCACAACTAATGCCATTATTGAAGAACTCTGTTCGATATATGCATGAAGCTTTTGAGTTTTATGAGGAAACTTTAGCTACCAGATATCCATATCCTTGTTATAAGCAAGTTTTTGTTGATGAGGTGAGTAAAGTTTCTTTAGAATTTAATTTAATTTATAGATTGTAAAATTAATCCCCTTTTTTTTTTTAGACTGTTCAAGATGTAGCTGCCTACACTACCATGAGCATTCTGAGTACTCATTTGCTTCATTCCATTGCTATAATTGATCAAACTTATATAACCAGGAAAGCAATGTCTCAAGCAATAGCTGAACAATTCTTTGGCTGCTTCATTACAATGCAGAGCTGGTCTGACACCTGGCTCAATAAAGGAATTGCTGAATATCTATGTGGGTTGTACTCGAAGAAATGTTTTGGAAATAATGATTACAGAGAGTGGGTTAGACAGGAATTGTTGGATGTAAGTAACAGATTATATTGTCGTATTACTTTGATCGTATTACTTAATTTTTTACATTGTTCTTGCTTTTAGGTTGTGGCTTATGAAGAACAGTATGGTGGTATAGTTTTGGATCCCAGCCAAGCACCTGCACCGCTTCCTGTTGCCGCTGCCTCTGGCACATCTCCTGTAACAGATGCAGGTGGGCCCCAAGGACGAGGAGGCAGTCACCATGCTACAGTGGCTCAAAATATTGGGCAGAATGTACACCATTTCCCTACCAGAAGTCTGCATACTATGTCACCAAAGTATATACAGGTATATGATCACATGCATTTTATTAAAGTTGGATGCATTTTGTTAATGCATTTTTTAGGCAATGAGAAAAAAGGCTCATTTAGTCATTAGAATGTTAGAACATCGGATTGGTCAAGAATTACTGCTGCAAGTGTTTAACAAACAATTAGCTTTGGCTACGAATGCTTCTACACAAAAAATTGGTAAAATTCAGTTAATTAACTTATTACATATTATGTTTTTTGTTTATATTCTTATATTTTAGGCAGTGGATTATGGCATCATATGCTAATTTCTACAAATGTCTTCACAACTAAGCTATTTACTGTTACCGGCAAAGATATGGCTGTTTTTGTTGATCAGTGGGTCAGGACTGGTGGACATGCCAGATTTTCGCTGACATCAGTTTTTAATAGAAAAAGGTAATAATCAGAAAGCTTGCCATATGTTTTCTGCATTAATTAAAAAGTAAATGAATTTTCTCAATTTAATTTCTTTTAGAAATACTGTAGAGTTGGAAATCAGACAGGATGCAGTTAGTCAAAGGGGTATTAGAAAATATGTTGGTCCATTGCTAGTTACTTTGCAAGAACTTGATGGAACTTTTAAACATACTTTACAAATTGAAAATACAGTTGTTAAAGCTGACATCACTTGTCATTCCAAGAGTCGTAGAAATAAAAAGAAAAAGATTCCTTTGTGTACAGGAGAAGAAGTTGATATGGATTTGAGCGCTATGGAGTAAGTAAAGTAAAGTTATATTTTCTACTTTTATATCCATATTGATATATTTTCTCTTTCACAGTGATTCTCCAGTTCTCTGGATTCGCCTGGATCCTGAGATGACTCTTCTTAGATCAACTCAAATCGACCAGCCAGATTACCAATGGCAGTACCAGTTGAGACATGAGCGTGATGTCATTGCTCAGATGGAAGCGATTGATGCATTGGAACGCTACCCAACTCCTGCCTCGCGAATGGCTTTGACTGTCACTATTGAGAATGAGCAAGCATTTTATAAAGTTCGATGCAAAGCTGCTCATTGTCTGACAAAGGTGAGAACAAATATATTAGTGCTAGATGGAATTAAATGTATTACATGGTTTTAGGTGGCCAATGCAATGGTTTCCACTTGGGCAGGGCCTCCAGCCATGTTGGCTATTTTCAGAAAAATGTTTGGGTCTTTTTCAGCTGCTCATATCATTCGGCAGAATAATTTTACTGATTTTCAACACTATTTTCTACAAAAAACTATACCTGTTGCAATGGCAGGTAAATGACATTCAAAGAAAATTGTTTTCAAACAATATTTGTGATAAAATATTACTTAATACATAAATGTATATAGGGTGTCCCAGAACTCAACATCAAGCCATAATGGGGTGATAGTATTGACTAACTGTCCTGGAAAAGTTTAGAAAAAAAAATTATCTCAAGTTATTTGAAAATTATGAGCTATTGTTTAATATTAAATATATTATGATATATTGTGACCATTCTTCAATTATTGTATTACTTTTCTTCATTTATACTTTTAATTTATTCATGACAAGTTAGGTCAATACTATCACCCTGTTTTGGGTTGATGTTGGGTTTTGGGGCACCAGTATAAGTAACACTGTCAATTTTTATTTCCACAGGTCTCAGAAATGCTCATGGCATTTGCCCTCATGAAGTAATAAGATTTTTAATAGAACTATTCAAATACAATGATAACTCAAAAAATCATTACTCAGATTGTTACTATAGAGCTGCATTGGTTGATGCTTTGGGAAACACAGTTACACCAGTTGTTTCTATGGTGCACCAGGTTAGTATAATTGATATATATATATATATATATATATATATATATATATATATATGTTTAATTTGAGTTTAATATTCGGGCATAACATCAATAAAAATAGTATGAGAGTTTTTTTAAAAATTTATTTATTTCAAATCCATACGTTTCAGCTAAAATCTATTTTCTTTTCCTAAACATATTGTTTGCTAAAATCTCATCAAGATCATGTTTCTTGACAGATGTCCTGAAGATGGAACGTACCTAGTTCCGAAACGTCGACAATAAACAAATAATTAAATAAAGAAATTGTTTTTTTAAAAACTTTTCTTGTTTTTTATTTTGTATTATTTTTGGATTCTTGCTCGAAACTCTACAATATATATAATATATATATATATATATATATATATATATATATATTGTTGGACACCGCGTTGATGAACAGAAAGGGCTGTTGGCGCCGCTATATGCAAATCGATGTTGTTGCTCTGGACCTTCCGACTTTCCTGAAAACTCACTTGCTGAAAATACTTGAGATTGATAAATAAAAAGACTATTTCAAAAACTTCACTTTATTACACTTTAAGTACAAGGAACTCGGAGGTATTAGAAGAGAAGTGTTTGCCCGGCGACCGACAGATTAAGACTGATTTATTTCATAATTATTAAAACTAAAGTCCTTTGAAACGTAGTGGGGATTTGTCTCGAATATTCTATGCAACGAAAAAGACAAAGTAATGAATTTAGCTGATT